GTGGGTCCCATTTTTATTATATTTTATATTACATCAAAAATACTTAACATGATCTTAACGAAGGCTAACGTTATTATTTTAGGGTTCGCTTTCCTCTGTGGCAATTAAAATGGAACCACTTATAAAAGAAAGAAGTGAGTTTCATGCTTAAAAAACCTTTTAAAAATGTACTACGTGAGGCACTCCATAGTAAGAGTTAATTGTATGTAATTGTCAAAAAATTCAGTGTTTGTACTCTATATTTTTGTTATGAATACGAATGTAAATCTGTTTATTTACACCTTATCATTATCATCTCAGCCATAGGACGTCCACTGCTGAACATAGAGCGCCCCCAATGCTTTCCATGTTGCCCGGTTGGTAGCGGCCTGCGTCCAGCGCCCCTGCTACCTTATACTATGTCGTCTTTTGTCGATTATTTACACCTGACCATTTCTATTTTAGGCACATTACAAATACATAAATCCATGTTTTTAATTTTGGTAAATGCTTAGCGGCAGTGTGATTTCTGTTAAAGTCTAAAATCCATACAGGCAAAATTAGTTGCAATCGAAACCCCGATCGAGTTAATATCATTTCGTGTGTTTTTTAACTACCGCGGATGTCAGACTTAACCTGTCATAACTGTCTGACATGATTTGATCGGAGCATCTGACCGTTCTCTTTCTTGATTAATGTAATCCACACAAAGTAATTGGTTGCAAAATGGTCGATGAAATAAATTCTTATCGCAAAAAGTCATCTTCATATCGAATCGTACAATCAAAATTCAAGTATTATAATAAAATACGCAATGATGCTTTTGTAACTTTAAAGTAAGCTTAAAGCTGCAAGTTTGTGGTGGATATGGTTTCACAGGATTAAGCCTCTTACGAAAATAGAGAATTATAAATGTAAATGAAAGCATTTTATCACATAGCTTAATTCGATGGGACTTACATGTTCATGGACAAAAGTGCCTAAAGTATTAATATTATTATTTGTACGCTTTGGAGCTCACGGGTCAAAAGTGGCCCGGTCCTTTATAAGGGTTGCGTGGGGATGCATACGGAACTGCAATTCACTACATCAACTCACGCTTGCCCGTTTTTTTCGATCGATTCATTACCTAACCAAGAGCTTGGGAGCTAGCGCCCCCTAGCGACAAATAGAAACGTTGGGAATGCATCTTCGGAAAAACTGCACATTGTTTTAGATTTTCTCCGGCTAGACATCAATAAGATGTTGGTGACCTTGCTATTGAATAGATTGATGGGTTCTTTGTGCGTGACGTTTAGTTTATACCCTTTTGTATGCGTGAATATAAGAAACGATTTTGTACAATTAAACAATTGTTTATGATGGCGACTGCCGCACGAGGAAAAACGTGTACACTTTATATTCTGGCATTTTAAAACATAAAAGGAACTGTGTGAAAATACTGTTCTGATTTTATAGTTATAGTTTTTGGAAAAGTTTTTTATGTTAATCGAAACAAAAAAAATGTGGCACGTCATTACAATTTATGAGTTAATAATGATGGTTCAGTATGCTAACGGATCAATATTAATAATTATAGTTAAGTATACTTAATTCTAACACCTGTTACTATGTACGTACTATTTCATAGCCTAGATCTTAGATCAATTTTCTCTTTACTGTTTGATGCTCATCTACCAATTAAACTCCATTTAAAGAGGTCTTTATATACCGTAAAGGCCGTAAAGTGTTATGTGCTTACTTCCGTAAGTTTAAATCGTTCTCGTTAGAATTTTATTTGTAATAAAAAGTTTCAGATTTATTCCTGAGAAAGTAGTTTATTCAGCTATTATTCAGAGTTACCTTATTTATTACCATTATATCTTAACAAAAAATTGGCATGGCATTACATACCTAGTGTATGTTTATGTAATTTTTTCCTGCAATATAAAAGTATCTTTAGTAAAGTACTGGTTATCAACCGACTTCAAAAAAGGAGGAGGTTCTCAATTCGACCCGTATGTTTTTTTTTTAACATAAATTGCAATTTAAAAAAGCAAATAGAAATTGAATTTGTATCACATTTAGCGACCAAGTGATTTCACTACAATTAAAAAGATTTGGATTAAAGAAATTCCAGTAATTACAATTAAATAAATGGAAGACATACGACACAGAAATTAAGTTTTTATTGTATTGTTTTTTATAGATTATTTTTTATTATTAAAGCGACTCTAGACTGACTGAAGTACTCTTAAAATAAGTTACAAATCAGTCAAAACATCAAAATATTAATTTAAAACAAGACCATTTTGGATCAGTTATGAAAGCAACAATATATTTTACTTGAAACGGTGCCGACAAGAACTTCAAAAATGTGATATAATTTCTTTATCAAAAGCGTGTTAAGTTTAAGTGAGATTTCTCCCAAAGCATATGATTACAGGGTTATCGTTGCATGGTGTTACACAACCGTTACTCCACATATTCGGTACAGAATTGAACAGGCTAAGAAAGCCGCAGCGAAAGTGTTTAGCAAAACGGCCGTGTCATGTACGGTGCGTCATAATGACGCCGAGAGAAACTGGGCTGTGGTGCAAGTTACAAGAGTCACGGTTAATATAACTTTTGATCAGTAAAATGAACATGAATGAAATGGATAACTATGAGATATATGAAGGACCTTTAAGTATTTACGAAAAGGGTCACAATTAAACACAAGATAATCTCAAACTCTATCAAAATAGTGGGATGATTAAAATACATATTGTACATCGTGTACCTTTGTTAGATTGGCTATTGCAGTTTGAGTGGATTTTCAGTCTTAGCCAAAAGCGCGAGTTTAGTGTGAACTAAATTTTGTTAAGTTAAATAATATACCACATTTTATTTTTTATCAACTAGGTATTTATGATAAATGGCATTTTTTGTGGTTGGAATTAAAGTAAAAAACATTTGATTTTTTGCAAAGATAAAATGTGTTTAAAAATCGCATGCACCGCGTGTTTGGTCATTATCATTTTCTTATTACTTCTATTTTAAAAACAAGTTTCGTTTATTTATATCCGTGTATCTCTAACAACTTTTTGTCATGCTATTTTGTGAAATATCCTCTTTTATGAAAATAACAACATTATAACAAAATTGTAACGTCATTCAGCTTGTGACTTAAAACATATGAGATAAAGTCACGAATTGTTAGTATCTATATGAATAATTCCAATGAATATTGATCTTTTTGTACATTTTAACACGTCTCTGGAACTCACGAAGAATCAATTGAATCTCATTTCAGGCAAAGTGGTTAATTTTACTTGAATTTGACATTATTTTGTTTGTTTTACACTTTTTAACACGTAACACTTTTCATGAAGTGTACGAGTAGTTACTGTTTTTAAAATGGACTAAGTTTCGATGTCTAAAAAGTACCTTCTTCATAAGCTTTTATATCTTCCCAAAAGACTTTGTCTTTCTTGATTTTTTTTTTATTTTATTCTGACTGAAATCAAAGTTACAGCGTGGTTATTAGGGTTTCTGATTTCTCGACCAATTTTTTTTCTCGAGTTTCGGGAATTCTCGAGGCCAAAGTCTCGAGTTTTCTCGGGTCTCGAGTCTTTTAATTAAAATTGTTGCAATCGGTTGAAATTTGATAAAAACACAGGTTTTTTTAAATCTAATATACAAAAAAACTAAAACCCAACTACGTAAAAATGAACTGAAAAGATAGGAACAAGAGAAAGTGTTCACAAATGCAGTCGGAGACATCAATGACTATTTTTTTTGTTGGTGATAAGTAGTTGGTGATAAGCCGTGTGGTGACAGCAGAATGGAATACATTTGTCACCAACCCTTACTCTTCCCGCGGAGAAGGCTCATAGTCCAGCAGTGGACTGTAAAGGGCTGTTGATGATGATGTGATGATAAGTGTTTGATGCCTCCAACTACATTTGTGAACACTTTCTCTTATTTCTATCTTTTCAGTTAATTTTTACCCAGTTGGTTTTTTTGTTTTTATTTTTTTACACTTTGTCTTATTTCTATCTTTTCAGTTCATTTTTACCCAGTTGGGTTTTTGGTTTTTTTTTTCAATAATATTTTTATATCAATCTTTTAATTAAAGAGCATACATTTTGCAAGCTATTTAAAAATCCTATGGTGATACCCCACTCGATAGGTTTTGAGATATTTTTTAATACATATTATGGCGCCAAAAATCGGCCATTTTTATATTTTCCAATTTTGATATACCCAGTGTCACTCACAGTTAAAACAAATCTAACATGCCATAGTTTGTTGAGTTTCACAATATGGCGTCCGGTAGTCGCCATATTGAATTTTTACTAACGTCATGTCTTTAGTGACACTCACCGGACTAAGAGAAATCGATTGACGTGCGAATCATAAAAATCGACCCAAGAGTTTGGTTTGTATAGTGCTTCAAAAACATACATACATAGGCTGTTAGACACATTACCACTCCTTTGCGTCACGCAGTCGGGTAAAAAAGGAAAGAGTAGACCAGTCTAAAAGCAACGTTAACCTATTAAATAATTAAAAACTTACTTTTGTCTAAGAAAATAGGCTTTCAAGAATATTAAAAGCTTCAAATTCGAAACTCGAGAATTCTCGAGCTCCGGTAATTTTTTTCTCGTCTCGAATGAAGCCAAATTTCTCGAGTTTTCTCGAGTTCGAGAAAGCTCGAGCAGAAACCCTAGTGGTTATAAATGCCCATCGAAAATAATATTTTCGCACAAAATGTTTTTATTGAAGATTAATAAGCAACGCTTAAACTGGAAAAGCTTTTAAGATGCCACAATTCTTTTTATGTTCTAGCGCTTAGAAACTTTATCTCATATAATAAATATTACATAATAATAAAACTTCATTGGTAAGATCTATCGAATAATCTAGCGTTGCAACAAAACATAGCAATACACAATCAATACGACATTAAGCCGCTTGGAAAACGTAGACAAAGCACCATCCACTTTCGCTGTTTTCTCGTAGAAACCAAAGCCTTAAGCTCGCCAGTTGTAAAGAGACACGCGCGTGCGCACAACGCGCGAACTTTGACGCGAGACGTCACTGCCGAGCCTCGAAAATCGAATTTGGATCGACAGTCGGTTGTTTTTATTAGAATTAACGATTCGTTTTGTTTTTAAAAAGACAAAAAGTGTTGTTTTAAGCGATTGGCTTTTTTTATTAGTATCAGAACTTTTTAGTTGATTAAAAAATAGTGGTTGTGTTATGGAGTGTTTTAGATGTGACCGCAGTTTTATGCCATTTCTTATATCGGAGAGTTAAAACTAATAATAACTTTTCAGTTTCATTTATTATTGGTTTTAAACTTAAGAGCAATGGATTTTTTTTAAATTACTATGACTTTTAAGATTGAAAATGTTGACATTAAAATGTCTTGTAATAATTAAAATACCCATATTTCTTTGCACATAAACACTATAATTTAGTACTGATTATGTACTAATTGTCACACATTCTCATGTGAACAATACACTCCAGAAAAGAGAGTGTTGTACATATTTCATCAGTTTTCTCCATTATTATGAGCTGTCTATAATAAATTCACAATTTCCAGTAATTACATAGTGTGTATGCCCATGGCATAATTTATTTGACATTGATATACAAAGTTCGAATTCAACTCATTTATTTTTGCAAATACACTTTTAACAAGCATTTTTACACGTTCCAGTATTAACCCTACCACTGCTTCGGGACTATAAATGGGCCAGTGCTTTAATGCTCGAACGTAATATAGATATTTTAGTGTTATAATTGCATACAAATAACGTGATATAATATTAAGACTAGTATTAAATAAGATCTGGACACAATGTTTTTTATTTACTGTCTTACGTGTTGAGTTTTACACGAAAAATAAATTTTCGCCAAATGTTTGATAAGTAATTCAATTGAGAAATGGCATGAAATTGCTTTACACAGATTACACGAATATCTACACCGAGTGAAAATGAACAAAAGTGATTGAGAAACAGACAATAGTGTTTTTGAAGAAAAACATTGTAATTGTTAAAAATGACTTTGAATAATACACACCCGCCGTACAACCGCGTAACTAGCAAGGGGTTTTTCGGGAAGAAAAGCAAGAAAACCAAGAAATATGCCAAAATGAAGTCTGGAACTTATGCAGGGAGAGAACGGTAATAATTGAGTCTTAGACTATACTAATTTAAAATTGTGCTACTACTAATTTATTTTAGACTTAAGAATTTGCCCACTGCGATCCGCGGTCAGGTTTTGACCTGACCGCGGATCGCAGTGGGCAAACATAATGCGGGCTGCATTCACTTTGGTGAATGCAGCCCGCATTATGTTTGAACAACATTGATTTTCACTAATTTTTCTACATTTTGTACTGAAGTGATCTGACAGTGCGGGCACGAGCAAAGAACATAAACTGACAGTGCGGGCACGAGCAAAGAACATAAACTGACAGGTGCGGGCTGCGTTCATTTGAACTGACCGCAGAACGCATTAATTGTGGCAAATCTTTTAATTCATCTACTAAGCTGTAAGGATACCAGCTACCATACGTTTTATAATTATAACTATCTTATCTATGACTTAATGGAACTCAAGATTAGGATCATGTCGTATAGTTTGACTTTAATCTAGTGATATTTAAAGTTTTGCCGGCACGGAAGAACTTAATCTGAATAATGTATTAGGGTTCAGTAACTTAATCAATAAGAAAACCTTATAAGAACTTGTACATTAAATTTTAACTATTAAATAAGTACTCTACGCTCTATTGGGGCTTTAATGTTAACTATCTCTCAAGTTTACGTAAAACTGAAATGCCTACATTAATTTATGCCGCTCGGACTCGACAGTAAATATATCTAGAATCATAAAAGTTACTAAGATTTCAGAAATTATGATAATTATGTTTAGTTATACATTTGCTGTTAACGGATACTATCGAAGAACGTGTAATTTAAATTGCAAAGATAAGTTTTTTAATTATTTTTCGATATAAATTGTTATGAAGTGGAAAGAGAGGGTAAGGAACTCTTAATCGAAATACTAATTAGCACTTGACCGGTTGTATATTGATCATTAATTATCATTTGATTTTATCAAAGCCTAAATTTTACTACGTTCTATATCGTTATCAATAAAATTCATTTTGCAACTTCTGACATTTTGTAATTCAAATGCATTGCATTATGTATTAGTATTTTACATAAATTATGTTTATGTGAACGTGAGATGTTGTTGCGACAAGCTTAAAACAAGCGATTAAATATGAATGACAAATAGTACATAGCTAAGTTAAGTATCAATAATATTTTTATTTATTATAATTACATATCTTTTGCAACTACATTCTGTACCTCTAGCATGAACAACTTTCGTCTTCGAATCGTTTGCGTATTCGATAAAATTCGATACTCAACCTTCGAATTAAACGATAACGTGACAATTTTGATTCTCAAAATAAGTTCTTTTACGACACGACACGTTCACAAGGGCGCTGTTGTAGTTTTCGTACTAAATCTTTTAATGACTAGCCTTAGACTTTTAATGACTAATCTTTTAGCGACTCGAATATGCAAACAATTTGAACTCGATAGTTTTTCGTGCTAACCGTACCTACTGTGGTGTAAGTTAAAATGATTATAAGGAATATATTCATATTATCTCTCTAAAAGCTTAACTTAACTACTGTAATTTTGACCAAAGCCTTAAGTGATTTCGGAATACAATTAATGATTTTTGCTCGGTTAGATCGTACAGCTAATGTTGTGGTCGAGATAGTAATCTTCACTAATGACAAACAGTTTGATGATTATCGCTGACCTAAGTATAATGTGGTACGGTAAATGTCATTGTGGTACACTCAATTGTCCTGTTAAGATTGGAAGAGAACCGTGGATGGCAAAACTATGGTGTAAAAATAATGTTCCTAGTGCCTTGTAGTAGTTACTTTTTTGTTTACTATGATTAGGCCATTAATTTACAGTACTCAATAAAATTAATAAAGAAAAACTAACATAAATAGTCAATGCAATATTTACAAAAAAATAAAATTGAATGTTATTTTTTGGACAATTTCACACAGCGCCATCTAGCCCCAAAGTAAGCAACTAATATGCTTGTGTTATGGGTGCCAGCTCAACGAATATTACTAAGAGAGAAAAAGTACATACTTTTTTAAATACATACATAATTTTATACATAGTTACACTCAGCATCCCCAGATCTGTCAATGAGGTTGTTAATTAATGAATGATGAAACACCACTGTTTTTGATGAATTATTTACGTTTTTATCCGACTAAAAAGTGTTTAATTTATGAAATTTTGAGAAAAAATCTAGCTAATATAGAGAAGCAGTATAAATCATGCTTTTTGTCACATAAAGAGCAGAAACAATTGCAAAAAAATGGCACTAAATGCGACAGAGAGTATGATTTACAACGCTTGTTCTTTGATCTTTAATTGCTTATAATGAGATTGTAAAAACGCCAAGCTAATTTAAAGAAGTGGTTGGGTTGTTTCTAAACACCTTCTCTTTTGAAGGTGCGTGCAATCTATGATGAATTTAGCTTGTAAATATTAAAAATTACGTATATTTCACGCCAGTAGAAGCTGTCAGTTTGTCCATTAAATATAGCCGAATGCCACTAACATCTATGTATTTATAGTGATCTAGTACTCGTATAAATCTATCTTTGGGTGCAAAATAATGCTACAATATTGTGTTCCGAAATTGCTCTCGATGCAAAACTTGACAGAGCTTTGTTATGCTAGACAAGGCAAGTATTTGACCACAATCGCACCTGGTGTTAAGTGAGATGCAGTCTAGGATGGTACATATCTGCCCTGTAAGTGCCTATTCACTCTCGCCTTGAAAACGCCCGGATTATTGTGTTCAGGAAATACAGCAGCAGGCAGCGAATTCCAGCCCCTAGCTATTCGCATTATAAACGAGTCGTCGAAACGCTTAGTGCGAGCTGGTGGAATGCTATAAGTTCAATCACTGTTTGACTTGATTTTTGTCACTAAATTTCCAGTTCTTACTGTCTCCGGCTGTTACTACAGTACTACTTTGGACTGTTACTGTCTCTAGCAGCTAGATTTATCCACTTGTGGCCCCATTTAATGGTGACTATTTATGGTCTTAACTATTTATTAATTTACTTGATGTAGCTTCCACACCATAACTTATAAATCAATCAGTACTTTACACGCTCGAATAAATTTGTGATGTTACTAGAAATTGCACTCGCAGTTAATATGATAGAATCTATGGAGCACGCAAATGTCAAATATTGTTACAAAAACCTCGCCATTTTTTGCAAAAGTCAGGCTAGTTAGTAAGTACTTATACCACAGTTATTTGATAACGGTAAAATCTTATGTAATATTATAACCTTAAACTTATAAACGCAAAAGTACTTACATACTTGATACTTGTGTAGATAGAGTCAGGTAGTGAGTAAGACGTATGCCACACTTATGCTTACAAAAATCTGTCTATTCAGCTAATAGATATGGTGTATGGGCTCATACATCTGCTGTAATTTCTACTGCAATTGTAAAATGTTCAATCCATGCACCATATAACCTAACTCGAACACTTACGCGAAGATCTCTCACAGCATTCAAAAGTAATACCCTAAGAAAAACATTGTCGTAAGTAAAAAAAAGCAGTTGATTTAAAACATGGGACAAGGAAGTACAAGTCACTAACACATACAAACTTATCTTTCAAACATCTATGAAAAACAATAGCTACGTACTTTCTATGTATATCAAACATTAGATTGCATGTCATCTAAAAGTACAAAAAGCCGTGAATCTAAACTGAAAACGTTCGTATGTTGAAGCATAAAACATCTACAAATGACTGTTAAAAGTTACTTGTGTTGTACAAATATTATCACTAATTAATTGTTAAGGAAATGTCGTTTCTTCTTCTTCTTCCTTAATTACACAGAATTTAGAAGTTACCTACAACATATCCGTGGAAAGGCACGATTGCTTTCAGTGAGAGCCGAGAAAATAAAAGTGAAATATGAGAGATCGATACATTGCGATAGCGATTCGTGACTCGAGTTATCGGCTTTACGATTATGATAATGTTCATTATGCCTATAATGTCCCGATGTAGAGTCGCAAGAAAAATGATTTTTTTGCTGCTCAGAGATATGTATCTTTACCAATTGGAAAATCAACACTACAGTGTGCCTACCATGAGTTTACGTTAGGTGTGCTCGCTAGCGACTGCGTAAAAAATGACATTTAAATGTATGACATATTGTGCAGCGCCCCTAGCGGCTACTTTCAAGAAATAAAATCTTCATAGAATTTTTTGACGTATTCGCTAGCGAGCTCACCTATCGTAAACTCATGGTAGGCACACAGTACTGTGATGTCATTAACGATCACAAAGTAAGACAAAATTAAATAAATTATTAAAATTTCTTAGCGAATAGAGTCGCTTCTCAAACTAAATTTCGTGGTTTCGAGTCCCGCCTTAGGCAGTTCGATTTTTTCAAGTTGTTTATTTAAAATTAAATTACTTACTTCAATTTCAGATAGGTAATAATAATAATAAATAATAATAAATCTTTGGACAATTTCACACAGCGCCAGCTAGCCCCAAAGTAAGCAACTTAATGCTTGTGTTATGGGTGCTAGCTTAACGGATATACTACTTATATACTTTTTTTTTTAAATACATACATATTATACATAGTAACACCAAGACCCGTCACAGAAATTAAAATTCATCATTTCAATTTCTGCCCGGCCGGGAATCGAACCCGGGACCTCTCGGCATAGTAGTCCGTTCTGAACCACTACACCAAACGGCCGGTAAGAAATTAAACTAAATACTTTTACCTACCTACATAATAATACTCGTATAATACATTACAATGAAATGTAAATATGTATTCTTTAATGAGACCGAAACTGTACTTACTCGTAGGTATTCAATTGTTTATGTTTATTTTTTTACTGATTGGTTTATTTAGCTGTGATTATTTTTTGTCACTGATTGGTTGTTAACAGTACATAAAATTTGAGTTTTTCAAGACATGTCAAGCCACAAAGTCACCAACAATATGTGCTGAAACAATAAATAAGAAAATGTTCCTCGCTTTTTCTAGAGAAAAAACATAGGAAAAAGTCTTTACTGCTACGTTATAATGAATCGTACGTCTGTAAACTAACTTTCATTACTTTTAATTACCATTTAAAATAAATAAGTGCACTTTCAAAACCATAAATCTAACTTTGAGAAGCAATTACAAGTGCAACTGTTTCTAAGAAATCCAATCTATTTTAAACAAAGATAAAAGTCGTCGATAAATACCTTTACTGGACAGAAAGATTGCAAAGATTACTTACAGTCAGCTACATAAAAAAAACTGAACAATTAGGAAAATTGAGCTTACTCGTAGTTACAATCGAGACCATGTCATTCTTTTGTTCTCACCGTTACAACTCCCATGTAGCCAGGATATGCAGCTTGAAGCTTTTTTTTTGGACAATTTCACACACCGCCATCTAGCTTCAAAGTAAGCAACTAATATGTTTGTGTTATGGGAGCGCCAATAGAAACCCAAGAGAATGAGCCAGGCAAAGAAGAAGGTATCTTGTTTTTATAGCTGACTGTACCAAAACACGTTTCTGACGCGTCTCTACGCAAAACCTCCTAATACTATTGTTATAGTTTTCTCCCACGAGATCTTATCTCATCATTCGGATATTACAAAGTTGTTTAATTGTCCAAGTAATATTGTAGTAATAACTTCATAATGTTACGTGGTTTTACGTAAGTTGTCAATGAGAACCGAATTGTGTCAGTTTTGGAGTTAGTAGTCGCAATTTCTGGACGCTGCGCTTGTTAGTGATTGGTATTTGAGTTTAGTTAGCACTTGCTTTTGCCAGTGCCTTTGTCTACGTAAAATTTAGTTTACTTGACACTTATCGTTATAATTTAGTCAATTATCCCACTAATACTATAAAGTTTAATCAAAATTCGTTCAGTACTTTTTGCGTGAAGTATCAAAGATTCTTCTCAGCACCTAGCTCACTTATTGTCCCGAAGCAATGGTAGGGTTAACACTGGGACGTGTAAAAATGCTTTTTAAAAACCTACTTGCAAAAATAAAATGAATTTCATGATTTTTTTAATGAAACATACATCTATTCATTCATCCGTTCTCTAATTATAACCGCAAGTATTTTTACTTAAATTAGTCAAGTCACTTTTTATAAATCTGCATCGATTTTATATCAATAAAAAACCGTTTACATTTCGTAAGCATCGACTAAATGCTTTTTCGATCGGCGCTACTTTTTCTGATAGTTCAAATTAGCCGTGACCCACTCTACTGTACGCCACTCTCAATTTCTCAGGAAGTTTTACGTGGTTTTATGTATTGAAGGTTGTTTCCTAAAATGGTTGCGTAAGAGTGTTTCAATTTGTAGAATATCTAGCGCGTGTGGATTAGTTAGAAACTACAATTTAGTTTGCCTGAGTTTTAGTTAGTACTACGTTCAGTTTTATCATGTTTATCTGTCAGTGTAGTATTCCTAACATTAGAAGATTTGCAAGGTGTCGTAATTCAATGCAATGGTCTTTTTATTGCTTCACTAAGTCGGAGGACGTCTATTCTAACACCCGTACCTATTCACAAAAATTACTATGAGGTCTCACAGTGCGCGTGACGCACAGTGTGACACACGAACCAATCACTATTCAACGCAGTGCGTTCGATTTGGCATCGTTTGTGAATACGGGCGTAAGTCTGATAACTAACATTAGGTACTGGTTTTTGCCCTTATTCAATTATTATTCCTGTAAGTTGAATTTTATGGTCTGGACTCGAGAAATAATTAGAACTTCTTGTGAAGAGTAACATAAGAATGAGCACTTTGCCTTTAAGCGTTTCTTTTGATCTAACTAACCACTTCTGTTTTATCCACAGCGCCAACACAGCGATGGACAATGACGTCACGCCGGTCTACCTCGCGGCGCAGGAAGGGCACCTGGCGGTTCTCAAGTACCTGGTGCTGGAGGCGGGAGGAAGGCTGGACGCGCGAGCGAGGGACGGCATGCTGCCTATACACGCGGCTGCCCAGACTGGCTGCTTGGACTGCGTCAAATGGATGGTAAGTCTACCTATTTGCCAGTGGACACAATGACGTCACGTTGGTCTACCTTAGATACTTGTTCTGGAGGCGGGAGGAAGGCTAGATGCTCGAACGAGGGACGGCATGCTGCCTATACACGCGGCTGCGCAGACCGGCTGCTTGGACTGCGTCAAATGGATGGTAAGTCTACTTATTTGGCCATGGATACACTGATATTAGATGGTCTACCTTAGGTACTTCTTCTGGAGGCGGGAGGAAGGCTGGACGCTCGAGCGAGGGACGGCATGCTGCCTATACACGCGGCTGCGCAGACCGGCTGCTTGGACTGCGTCAAATGGATGGTAAGTCTACTTATTGGATAGTACATTTTTAACTACGACTCTGTGCCGCAAAGGCTGAAAAGCCGAAGCAATTTTGTAAAAAGGGGTCTCCTTCATGACGATCGGTCAAAAGATGCAGGTTATGGCGGGAGAGAGCTGATCTTTCCTGCCCTTTTGTCCCTATGTTTTTGTTATTCCTCTGCCTGGATATGAGGTTTACCTGGAAGTCTTTAAATAGACTTCGGACGCAGGTCGGCCGTAGTAAGGACAACTGTTCAGGTGGGGATTCTTGGATGGCTGAAACTTGAAGGCAGGTGCGGTTATTCCCCAGTCGATGAAGCACATGATTTTGTGCTCTGAGTGCCCGAGCAACTGCACACAGGAGCATTTAATGAATGCTGCTGGCAACGCTACTCTTTTACCGAAGTTTTGGACTGACACTATGTAGGTTTGTTGTCGACACGACAAGAAGAAGAAGAAGTAGATATGATCTATGACGTCACGCTGATCTATCTACCTTAGGGACGTACTAGAAGCGGGAGGGAAGCTAGAGACACGCAGATTGTGTCAAATGGATGGCGAGTCTGTTCTTGCCCAGTGGTCATACTGACTTTACGCTGGTCTACCTTAGATAGCTGGAGACAGGCTGTTTGGACATTGTCAAATATGTAATTTATTGCATAGCCCCCCTATTTATTTTACCTTGCCAAGAGCATGCAGGGTTCATGTCTAATTTGACTGGACTATAAGTAGATGGAGTAAATTAATACTTCGCTACGGAAATAAATCTCCAAATCATTTAACTTTCCTCCCCTGTGGAAATTATTAAGAACTCTACCATAATAAGAAAATGCATTTCCTCAATTCTACATGATTGTGTGGTCATCACAACGAGTGTGGTACGAGCAAATCCATAGCAAGCGGTGTTTTTCGCACCATGACGGCGCGTGCGCACGATTGAACTGTTTAATCTTAGGGCTATCACAATTTAATTAAAATTGTTTGCAAATGTTTTGATAGATTTTTGTTAATTTTCATAGGTAAGTACTGTAATTTATTGAGATGTAAAGGGTATGCGGCTTAATGATAACAAGAAGTTTGGCTTACCAACCGCTACAAGATGAAAATGTTCACAAAATATGCGTTATGATGTTATATAAAATGTTGTTAAATATAAAATCTACAACCTATGTGTTCCTTCACTTAGTTAAATTAAAAAAAAATGTGGTTTAAGCTAGCTATCCGAAGATTTAAGTATCTCCTGTAAGCAAAATGTCCCAGAAGTCCCTTGAAAAAATCTGGAATACAAATATTCTTCTCTCAATTTTTTGAGAAAGTAAATTAAGCTTATTTCCATAACTGGCAACCCTACGATTGCGGACCTGCGCACGAGTGTGCGTTTCCTCGGATTATGCGCTCATTGGTCGGAGGTGATTGAACTTGCAGATTTTCTCTCACATCAGTTGCTCGCTACAATTTGTTTCTTCATTGTTACGTTTATAACAGAAATCGATCAGCCGCAGTAATTCTAGTAAGAAGTTACATAATTGTAGTATGTTCACAAGATAGTATATTTTGATTGATAGCGTATATTGCGTTGTAGTTGATTAATGTGATGTAATGCTTGAACAAGTTGTAGAAATGTAAAAATAATATGTTTAAGTGCAAACTCTCGTTTAGTTTCGTGAAAATTGTAGTTTATGTTTTTGATTATGTTTGAAATGGTTTCCACACTCATAAAAAAGGACAAGGAATGAAAGTTTAAAACAAACAAAGGGGTTCAATTACTTTAAGTACCTATCAAAAAAATGTATTAAACCAACACGTAGGTGTATTATCCCAACTATCCCAATCCCAACTAATATTATAAATGCGAAAGTAACTCTGTCTGTCTGTCTGTCTGTCTGTTACGCTTTCCCGCTTAAACCTCGCAACCGATTTTGATGAAATTTGGCATAGAGATAGTTTGAGTCCCGGGAAAGAACATAGGATAGTTTTTATCCCGGTTTTTGAAACAGGGACGCGCGCGATAAAGTTTTTCTGTGACAGACAAAATTCCACGCGAGCGAAGCCGCGGGCGGAAAGCTAGTTTACTATAAACAAGCAAGTATAATGTATGAATTAATACATTAAAAACATCCATTATGAAAAAAATATTGCTAAGAATCCGGATCAGATTCATGCAACGTCATACATATTGATGACTATCTATCTTTAACTTATGATTATAAATGCGAAAGTCCAAGTTACTGTTTATGTTGTTTGAAACGATATTATGGTGAAGATCACTGTGTCAATTTTGATGAATTTCACCAACTTATCTTATTTAGGAGATACCTACACTTTATCGTAGTGTATTTCGACCTATTAGAATATTTGTTCCTACTTTTCTTCTTTTCTTCATACTGTCTAGATGGATTGACAGTCACTTCTCCATCCACCGAAGAATGAGAGTTGTCCTATTTTGCTCTACTAGAACCACATGAGAAATCCGTAACGTAAGAATAATCTTTTTTTGAGAAATGGTAGAATTCAGTCCAACTCCTACGTCAACTAGGATTTATACCTATTCCAAAATTATAAAAAAAATACTGGATGATTTAAAATTTTTCTACTTATGAATACGAACTCACCATAATCTCTTGTCTCTTTCTAGATCGTAGAGCGAGGCGTGGACCCCAACGCGAGGGACGGAGACGGGGCTACGCCCCTCCACTTCGCGGCGTCTCGAGGACATCTGTCCACGGTGCGCTGGCTGCTGCGGCATGGTGCTAGGCTGCACCTAGACAGACATGGGAAGAGCCCTATCAATGATGCTGCGGAAAATCATCACCTAGAGGTTAGTAAATAAAGGGGACAATAGCTTGACCGTGTTGGGCGGCATGAGGCTGCACCTGGACAGGCACGGAAAGTCTCCTATCAATGATGCTGCGGCATATCATCATCTAGAGGTTTGGTACATAACGATGACAATGGCTTGACTATGTCAGTGTCAAACGGCGCAGGGCATGAATGATGCTGCATAAAATCATCATCTAGAGGTTAGTAGTCTGCCAATTCGAGGGGGTAACCTCCTCGCAACTGGACTTACTGTAGTAGGTAGTACATAGGTTCATCCTACGACAAGTATGCCTACTTATCTTGGCTGGAAGGTTAACAGGACGACTGTAGAGTACGATGTAGTTTTGCAAGAATAATATTAGAAAGAAAGAAAATAATTTTATTTGAGTTAATGTATTCGGAGTCCGAGGGAGGGATGAACAAATGGAATGAAAAAAATCTTAAATTATATTCTTATGGAGCCTTTTATTTATGTCTTATTGTACTTATGCAGTAGAGGTTCATTAAATCTGCCACTAGGTTGTTGTTACGATTACGACCCACACGATAAAAGATGATATGGTGATGTTAAAGTTTATGATCACAAGTATGTATAAGATTTTGCACCATGTCGGATTGTGATTTAGTAATTGTAGCCTAACAGCTCAGAAACCTGTCAGCTCTGAAAGGTGTTACAGCTGGAACCGTTACATAACCGGCCAGACATCGATATATTTTCTAAATTGACAAATAGCTCAACAAATCTTCTTCACAGGCAGATATCAATCGGAATGTTACGACAGACTTGTCGGTGCATCGCTATTTTTAACAGATGAATTGATGCAAACGATAACATTTTTTCACGATGATGACAGTTTAAAAGATTTTAGAAACACAAACGGGTGTCATAGGACTTGTTCTTCTATTTAACTTTATAAGACTTGTTGTTCTATTCAATAAAGTTGTTGTAATTGACGAAATGTGTTGATAGTAAACCTAGTACAATAATAAAAAACATGAAGGACATTTCAAGACGCAATATCTACTTACGCGCCAAAAGGCAAAGCTATGGTAAGAATAGTATTTTAGAAGTAAAAATGTGTCACACCTGTCTGCATCAATTTACTAATCACGTTACTGGCTACATTTAAATAAATAAATGGCAAATCGAACAAAAAACAAGTCCAAAAAGGGTATCTAAATAAATCGCGAGATCTTTAAATACACTCGCGAGCAAAAGTATGGAATCACTTACATGAAGTTGTTTCCACGCGAACTTGTGTACTAACGAATTTGTTAGGAACAAAAAAAGTGGCACCATTTTAAAGATTAAACTTTTATCTTTAAATTGATACCAAATTCATTTAAATCACACCAGTATTTTAAAAGATATCCCGGCTGATGTGAAGAAGTAACGAAAAAGACATGTATGAACTGTTTGATACGTCGCGAGTTGCGGCCTATTTACCCCCTATAAAAGCACGCGTTTTCGGATTTTTGCTTTCACACGTTGATTCATACACATCTCCGCTTCTTTTGACACTTTACCTGGGATTCTACACCTTCAGAAGCAGCACAAATCGTTGCACTATTGCAAGAAGGGCTCAGCCAGCGGGCTGTCGCACGTCAGCGCCACATAAGCCAGTCCTGGGTTTCGAAAGTTTCAAGACGCTTTCGGGAGACTAGTGGCTTTATCCCGAGACCAAGTTCTGAACAGCGCCGGTGCACATCGCAGAGGGAAGACCGTTTTTTCATGTCAACCTCTCTATGAAATCGTCATTTGACTGGAATCGATGTCCATCAAGAGCTCAGAAATGTTCGTAAGATAGCTGTTAGCGAGTGGACAGTTCGTCTAAGATATAAGCAATAGAATTTAACTCCAAAAAGGCCTGCCACAGGCTCGAAACTGACGGCAGGTCACCGATAAGCACGCTTTCAATTTGCTCGTACACATCTCGATGTTAAGTCGAGCAAGCCACCCCCATAAGCCACTGTTTCAGCGAACCAGCACTGCACAAATCGCTCCTCAGGCCGCCTATAAACCCGACCTCTTCGACTGCTGCCCTGCAAACACAGTTTGCATTCATCGGAGAACAGAACTCGCCTCCATTACTCGCCTTCCCATCGAGATGTGTACGAGCAAATTGAAAGGGTGCTTATCGGTGACCTGCCGTCAGTTTCGAGCCTATGGCAGGCCTTTTTGGAGTCAAATTCTATTGCTTATATCTTAGACGAACTGTCCACTCGCTAACAGCTATCTTACGAACATTTCTGAGCTCTTGATGGACATCGATTCCAGTCAAATGACGATTTCATAGAGAGGTTGACATGAAAAAACGGTCTTCCCTCTGCGATGTGCGCCGGCGCTGTTCAGAACTTGGTCTCGGGATAAAGCCACTAGTCTCCCGAAAGCGTCTTGAAACTTTCGAAACCCAGGACTGGCTTATGTGGCGCTGACGTGCGACAGCCCGCTGGCTGAGCCCTTCTTGCAATAGTGCAACGATTTGTGCTGCTTCTGAAGGTGTAGAATCCCAGGTAAAGTGTCAAAAGAAGCGGAGATGTGTATGAATCAACGTGTGAAAGCAAAAATCCGAAAACGCGTGCTTTTATAGGGGGTAAATAGGCCGCAACTCGCGACGTATCAAACAGTTCATACATGTCTTTTTCGTTACTTCTTCACATCAGCCGGGATATCTTTTTAAATACTGGTGTGATTTAAATGAATTTGGTATCAATTTAAAGATAAAAGTTTAATCTTTAAAATGGTGCCACTTTTTTTGTTCCTAACAAATTCGTTAGTACACAAGTTCGCGTGGAAACAACTTCATGTAAGTGATTCCATAGTTTTGCTCGCGAGTGTAGTATCTAGTTTAGTGTCCTTTCAAATTAGTGCTGATAAATCTATTTCAACTGAGAGGATGACCTTGCCATCTGGTGCTTAAAAATCTGACTCGATCATTAGCGGTGACCTTATGTCATTCTAGTTGGTAACACTTTTACATTATGTTTTATCTTCACTCTACTGGACTATACTTGACCTTGTTATTTGTTTAAAACACTCGTGGTTAAATAAATGAGCATTTTTGCTGCCCCTAATTACCTGTTTAGGTAGTTAACCTGCAAGAGTCTGATGCTACAATAAAATGTGACCTTTCTTTTGAATAACAGCCAGTTTGGGGCAGTAGGTATACAAAACGACAAAACTAAAACTAAAGTGAGTTGTACGGATTGCGGTACATTTCAGTTGAACAGAGCAAGTGTTCGGATCGAAATTATGGGTTAAGATATTTCCTATGGTTAGAAAATCGGTAAACAGAAAATATTCACTCCATAATAAGCTCTATTCATAATTTTTGATATGACTTTCTTTCGGTCGAATTTTAACCTTCTTCTCCACAACAAACAAACTTCTCTTGTAGTGAAACATACCTACAGTGAATAAAATGAATATGTTAATGATCCGTAAACAACAAAGTGTTGATGTTTACTTGAAGTATAGACAGGTGAAATGAGTAATAGCTGTGGTAATAGTGGCTCTATGGTTATGAATGAACTCTTTGTATTCATTATTTCCTTTTGGTTGGTAATAAATAGGCCGCTGTCAATGCAATGTGTAGTTACTAAGTATTACCACCCAATTCACATAATATCGAGAACACTTCTCAAATATAGAGTTATACTATTGACCTAATACATATTACTATTATGTGGTATTACTGTAAAATATGAGCATTAAGCGGTGATTTTAATAGTTAACATAATGCTAATGTCAAATCAATCATCCCAAAGTGAGACTGAAAAGGCATTTACTGGGCAAGTATAGATATGCACCACCCTAGACTGCATCTCACTTAATGTCAGGTGTGATTGGGGTCAAATACCAACCTGTCTTTTGTTGCATAAAAACGTTTTGCAAATCGTGAAACTCATAACTTTTTCTATAGTTTTTGGCAAAAGGAATAAACAAATACACGGAATAAACAAACATAGTTAAATACCAGAACTGAAGCCCTCAACTTGACCGCCTCACCCCGGAATCGAATCTCACTCTCTACACCAAGACCCATCGCTAACACACGGTACAAAACTACCCGCGTAACGCCACATACTCGTATGTTTCATAATCCCGATAACTCATTGTCTTTAATTACTAGGAAGTCAAAGAGTCGACTATAAACAAAGACCTTTGTAATTGAAACACCTTGCAATTACACGAATCACTTTCCACTTGTCTATGGCCAGGTAATCGGTCCACACAATGGCAAGCTCGCGTTTGGAAAGTACATGTTTTCTCTACGTTACAGTCTGATGGGTGAGCCGGGTTATTTGAATGTAGATTATGCATGGTAATTAAGCTTAAGGCATTTTTGGGTTCGTTCGTTCGTTTCAGCCAAATGACGTCCACTGCTGGACAAAGGCCTCCCCCAACGTTTTCCACAATGAACGGTCCTGCGCTGCCCGCATCCAGGCTCTTCCCGCGACCTTTAGCAGATCGTCGGTCCACCTAGTAGGAGGCCTGCCCACGCTACGTTTTCCAGCCCGTGGTCGCCACTCGAGAACTTTCCTGCCCCAACGGCCATCGTCTCTACGAGCTATGTGCCCCGCCCACTGCCACTTGATTTTAGCAATTCTGCGAGCTATGTCGGTTACTTTGGTTCTCCTGCGGATCTCCTCATTTCTGATTCGATCACGCAGGGAAACTCCGAGCATAGCCCGCTCCATCGCCCTTTGGGTGACCTTGAGCCTTCTTATGAGGCCCATAGTAAGCGACCACGTTTCGGATCCATATGTCAACACTGTTGCACCCACTCCTCTGAAGGTTGGAGACTCTACACTCGAAGTTGTCGACAATTATGTATACCTGGGACAAACAGTCCAGTTAGGTAGGTCCAACTTCGAGAAAGAGGTCAATCGTCGAATCCAACTCGGATTTTTGGGTCTGGTCTGGAAATAATTGACCAGTGAAAAAAAATGTTTTATGAGTATTTCTATTAACCCTTCAAGCTCCGCGAATCGAGACATAGATAAATCAATCGTTACGCGGTTTTATGCGACCGCTTGGGGTTTGATGGGCTAACTGAATATGTATAGAGCAGAAAAGGGAGTTTCTCACTCGATTTGGTGAAGGCCACGGAAATGTTTGAGCCTCCCCCAAGGATTGATCGACAAGAAAACAAAAGGAATTTTCCCACTTTTGAAAAACGCAACGACCCCTGCAATATACCTACGATCGAATGTTAAAGAGTGCAAACTAAATGAACCAGAACTGGTTCAAACTTTGCATTGAACATGTTAAACAAATTAGTCACAGAAATTCGTTACAGGAAACTGTTAAACTGTTACTGAAAATTATCGTTGATATTGTGCAGAATTTTTTTTAAACTATTTTAATACGTTTTATAAATATAACAGCGGCATAACTGATTTTCTTTGAAATATAAACATGATCTTGGTGCTAAGATAAAAGAAATATAATTTTGTAAAGACAGAAAGCCGTGTGGTGACACAGTACAATACATTTGTCACCAACCCCTACTCTTCCCGCGGGTATCGTAAGAGGCGACTTAGGGACTACACATCAAACAGAGAACGGGCAGCAGCGCTCTCTGAAAAACATCAATCTTGTAAACTAAGATCTCCAACCCGCCTGTCATGCGTGGGGATTACAGCAAAAGCTTCCACTATAGTGGAGGAGGCTCAAAGTCCAACAGTGGACTGTAAAGGGTTGTTGATGATGATGATGATGAAAGACAAAAAGGTAATTTAATCACGATAGGACATTTCCAAGCTAGTACAAAACAAGTCAGACAACTTGATAAGACAATAACAAATAAAGTTTCTATCGATTTTGAAACAAGCTGGAATAAAAATGTATTTGCATAAAACACTGTAAATGCATAACAAATCATGCATGCATATACTCATGCTCGTGTTAATTCAGTTGCCTATTTATCTGTAGGCATATTTCAAATAAATTACGAGTATAAAATACATTTCGTAACGTCTTGAATTACATATAATATCAAAGTAAAAAAGAATAACAAATTAAATAACACTCAATTCAATTATTTATTAATTAAAAGAGTCAATTCGATAAATTCACAATATTTATGATAACTTTCATTACTTTATTTTAGACGTTTGAATATCTACGACCTACCAAAAAAAATTAACTACTATGTTAATTTTTTTCAATAGGTATGCAGTACGCTGAGTAATTTTTACAAGATAGGTTTATTACGATTAAGTCCATTGAGGTTTGTGTAACTTCGAACGCCTAATATTGTTCTTCTGGTTAATTTCGTTGCGGGTCCAATGACAGTTTAGTTTTCACCCGGGACAAAATTGACTTTTACTGGTTGTTTTTATTGAAGGTCAAGCTGTAGATAGGTATTGGCTACACAGGAGTTGCAGCGGTGGGAATGATGGGTAGTCCCGTATATCTTGATAGACCAGTCAGTAAACTGTAGTTTTTTATGTATTCTTCTTCGTCGCTACACTCCTGCCAGAGTGGTCATGGTCGTCACACTCGGTCCGGTGGCAAGTCTCACAATCCGTCGCCATTCCTCCCGCACTGCAGCCTTTCTTGTGCACTCGTGGAGTGGACCATTGAGTGCGGTTTTGACCTGGTCAGTCCAGCGCATGGGCGACCTGCTGCGCGCTCTTGTGTCCTCCACCTTCCCCTGCACAAATCGTTCAACAGAAGCGACATCTCCACGTGTAATATGGCCAAAAAAAGTGAGAATACGACTTTGGACGATATGAAAATTACAAAGTACAAAGTATTAAATGAACGTTGTTTGTCAACAGTGCCTGAACGTGTTGGTGGCGGCCGGCGCGGGCGCAGACAGCAAGCAGCTCTCCGCGTATAAAGCGGTGCACTCCTGCGCATGCACGCCTGGTGATGCACGAGTAAGTATAGTAATTTAATGTCAGTAAATATCCGTACAAGACTGATGTACTTGAAAATCCTCCTAACTGTCCTGAACTAAATTCAACAACAAATTGTTACTAATCTAGAAATCAACAACAAATTTCTAGATTCTCCTTATTATTCTCAACCTTTCTTAGTTCGTAGAGTCCTACATAAATTGGTCTCTCAAAATGCAAATGATTATTTTTTTGGGTTAACAACAATCTTCCCTATTCAAACTCCTACGTAAAGAAGTATAACTCTTTCGACCCAGACTTATTAAACGCATCTACTACGAGTATTTGGTCCAGGAAAAACTGACCTGAATATGGATACAAAAAGTCACAACATGTTACAAAATAGGTATTGTGGAGACACAGCTAGCCATTTCTTTATAAAAAAGAATCGTTCCTTAAATAATTAACTTTTTTAAAAAATAAAACCGACTTCAAATGCGTGAACACAAAAAAAAACTAAAAATTAAAAATATTGCGTATAAAAAAGTTCATCCCCAATTTTCCACCCTTGGGGGTGAAATATTTTCTTCAAATTCGCATGAAACCACCTTTTTGAAAATACCTATTCAACAAAAAAATAATCGTTCAAATTGATTTATAATCGGCGGAGATATTGCGTATAAAAAAGTTCATCCCCAATTTTCCACCCTTGGGGGTTGTTTTTTCTATTATTAAATTTAAATGGGACCACCCTTGAGGTATTACCTATACGCCGAAAAAAGATTTGTTCAAATCGGTTCATAATTGGCGGAGTAATCGCGTAACAAACATAGAAAAAAAAAAACATACGGGTCGAATTGAGAACCTCCTCCTTTTTTGAAGTCGGTTGAAAAGAAACTAGGTTAAAAACTACTGCATAATTTGGTTTGCTTTAATCACAAAAAATCTGATTCCAGTGCGCCCTTCCCAACTGCATCAATGCGAACAGTCCCCGCTCGCCCTTCTACCTGCACGCTCCAGAGCGGGAACGCCGAGGGTCCCTGCCTTCCACCATCGGCTCCATCAGCTCGGCTCGCTCGGGACCTGCAGACGGACTGTATGTCAACCCCATGCAGAGGGCCACTTCCACCAGTGCGACACATCATAGTTCTTCGGGAGAGGAGAGTTCAGGTTAGTCTTCTTTTTGATGTAGCTTATAATGATGAAATTCTAATTATTCTTCTTCTTTTCGTGTCGACAACAAACCTACATAGTGTCAGCCCAAAACTCCGTCACAAGAGTGGCGTTGTCAGCAGCACTCATCAAATCCTCCTTCATCAAATTCTAATTATTATTTGATATTATGAGAGAAGAGTTCAGGCCAGTAAATCTCTTTTTTATTTTGGTAATGATGAAAGTTTCTTTGCTCATATATTGATATATTGGATGGATTATATTATCTCACCATGTATACCTACTACAGGAGGACTACGCTTTCTAATTTACCAGAGCAATTGGGTGATTTGGCCTGCAGTCCCTACGATAGCCAGTTGGGCATGAGAGGCCTGTTGTTCGCATATTTTTCTGATAGTCGCCTTTTATGACTTCCACGGGAAGTGTAGTGGTGTAGTGGTAGCGGTGGTGGTGGTGATTTTCACTCTGATGGAACTACATGGCTATACCTATACCACGTGTACAGTAACCAGAGTAAATAAAAATGAGTAGGTCATCTTCATAGAAACGCCCGAGCGCGGTTTGTATGTGAGCGCGCCCATAGGTACGTATGCGGCGCGCACGCACACACTGACAAAATTTAGCGTTGATTAGCGGTGAGTTGCCCCGAATTTTGTCAAATGTCAATGTGTGCGTGCGCGCCGCATACGTATTGGCGCGCGCTCACATACAAACCGCGCTCGGTGCGTTTCTATGAAGTTGACCTACTCATTTGTATTTACTATGGTAACACGTCAGGGGGCTGACGAATGAAGGAATGTAACGCTAGTAAAGGTATAATCAGAGTCATTAGCGGTCACGAAGAATCTTGTTACATCACTAGCACAATTTATGACCTGGTCACCTGATGATGACCATATTGACCAATCTAACCCAGGGTATTCTTTTGTGCAGTTTGAATGGTGATTTATTTCATTAGTGTCGACACCGCCTTCCCCTTCATATTTGTTTTAAGTAACTGTCTTCACCATAGGTTGTCTGTAAGAGATCGCTTCATAGCGATAAGACCGCACTAGTTGTAGGTACCTTGTGTGTTCCTTTTGTTTCTGTTCTGTTCTTTGGTGTGCAATAAAGAGTATTTATTATTATTATTATTTGTATCTCTCCTGTGGATAAGCACGGTGCGGAGGCCGGTCCTTTTGGATGGCGTTCATGGGGATACAGATCCAACACGAAGAGGCCCCTTCGAGATACGATAATGTGTTAGGATGTGTACACCTAGCGGATACTATCTCTGCCTGCACTATTGAGGAGATACAGCCAAAGTCAGCACCCGCTAAGTGCATTATTATTATTATCAATTGTCTTTTCAGTCATGTCTGTTATTTCTGTAGGTACCCCATGGGTTGCTAAATTCGTTGCGGGTTCCAAGACAAAACCTAAGCCATTCCTCAACCTACACAACCTTCATTGGTTGGGATTTATTGGAGGCCAAACTGTAGATCCTGGATGTACACGATCGCTAGATGGCGCTGTGTGAAATTGTTCATGTACATCAGCGGTTCCCAAACTTATTTTGTCTACTGCCCACTTTGAGAATAAATTCTTTTTAGCGCCCCCATTTGTAGTAGAGTGTCGAGTGCTCAGTCGGTGTCTAAGAGTCCTCGTAGTAGATGACGCCTCCCAAGCCTCTACACGACGTCCCAATTTTTTTTTCTGGGTCTCTTACCGCCCCCCTTTAAGCCTGCAGCGCCCACAAGGGGGCGTTATCGCCCACTTTGGGAAAGACTGATGTACATGATCGCTAGATGGCGCTGTGTGAAATTGTTCAAATATGTTTATTTATTTATACATGAGTTGCAGTAGTAAGATTAGTTCCGTTGGTGGATTTTGGGTTTCGATGAATCGTGACATTTATTTGTAGGTTTTCCTTATTGACGAGATTGATGATTTGACACGATTTTAATGCATTTTTCAGCAGAGTTTAACAATTGCTCCTCCTGCACATTTAACAATTGTTAGTCGATTGTTAAATGTGCAGGAGGATTATTGGATTTGTCAAACGTCATGGAAAGTACCAGTCGTCGATATGATTCTTTTAAAATAAAGCCGCCGACACCGCCAAGCGGGCTTGTTGTGTAGAGTCCTTTGGGAAAACAGGAAGCAAAGTATGCAATCCAGTATGTGTATGTTCACCAAAATAGTCGAGCGGCGGCGGGGACCGAACCCGCGTTCCCCGGATCACGAGTCGGCCAGTCCGACCAAAAAAATTATCTCTTTCCACCATAGAAAACTGAGGATATTATTATCTCCTGAGCAACATTGGATTCATTAGCTCAGTGCTCTCTCATAGGTTGTACAGACCACAAAACATCTTATTTAGTTGTAATAGGGGCGAATTTGAAACAAAAATGTATAGTCTGATATGCTATCGTATCCGTAGATCTTTGGCAAATGAGAATTCAGCTTTACTATCAGTATAAATAAATAGTCCATGTTACATGCTATTGAAAGCTTAGCTTCAATGTTAGTTTAATTGGTTTCCAAGATAGTTACAAGGTGCACAAGATCGTCTGTGATCTTCGAAGGGAAAATAATATATTTTCATATATTTAAATTTAATGACACGAGGGGCCAGAAAAGTGTCGTACCCATTTTAATAAAAAAGTGAACATCTTCACCATACGCAATCCTAATTATTTACGGCAAATCAGTAGTGTGTTAGACAACACTAGTTGTATTGACGAGCAGAGACCATTAGCTAACTTTCAGATTACAGGCACATGAGAAAAAAATTTGTATGTAATATTTTTTAAGTAGAGCACTCTTATATTAACCATTGAATGAATCCGACACTATCCTAGCACTGCCCAACCAGCCATGAAAAAATTTACAGTTACCAGCAAAAAATGTACTCCACATCGAACGGTTCCACAATGTTATTTGAAAATATCTGAAACAAATTCTGCAAATATTTATAATACTGTACAAACTGCGTATAAAGTCTAAAATGAAGCGTTCTAGCAGATATCACGTAAACTCGAAAGCGTCTAATTGGATCGTTAACTAAATCGAGCGTAATGAACATTCCTGAACATTATTGGACGAATTTAAGGCGATCTGCAAACTCGAGACAAGTGATAAACAGTCACACAAAGATATTGAGATTTTAAGACTACATATTTTGTCTTTGTCACGTATCCCAAAGTCGCAGGGTGATGAAAACGGCGAGGAATTTATAGATTCTTCTTCATTATATTTGCGTACTTTTTGAAACTATTGGTCCATTTGTACACGTTTTTGTCGATGCTCAGCTACACGTAAGGATGCCTGATGGCTCGTTGATGTAGACGTTAGTCCAATAAATATTCGACGAAATCAGTAACAACACACAAATAAAACGAAAGTGAAAAAGAAATAAAGTGAAAAAATTTGTATTTTCCGTGGAAAGTTAGGTTGAATTCTCATTTAAGAGGTAGGTTCTGAACTACTGACTTTTTTTAAAGATTTTGCCAACACGGATCTTAAACCATGTAGGCATACTTAAATGATATTTGTAAAGACTCCATACACTCTGATAACAGTAGTGTAAATAGAGTGTGGGCAAAGTTCAGAAGCCGTCTGCACAAGCCCTAAAGTATCTTGATTCTTTATGTCTTACCCGCGAGCGTGTTAAGCAGATATGTTACCAAATAGTATTATGCATGGATTCACACTTTGTAATATAATATAAGCCGACCGACGTGTAGGCGCGAATAATCGAGCGCATCTAATAGGGCGTGAACGTCATCAGGGCTGACAATGCTCTTTTGTCAATGGAAACCATGATTCATATTCATATGGGTTTTGCCAGACAGGGCAGGCAAAACTACCGAGTAATTTTACTGAGATCAAAAGTTATAGTCTTCGTTTTTCAATGAGGTTTTTAAAAGCCCGTCACGTCTCATTTAAACTCTACCATTGCATATGGGCAAAAATGTGGTGCTAAGAAGAATCAGCGCAAGAAACTGCCACTATTGGTACATAACATGGTTAACGGGTTAATTTCGACAGATCTATGGTGTAAAATTAATATGCTATGTAAAAGTTATATTAACTACTAAAATTGTACAAAAATTACACCAGTATAAACGTATAAGAAAAAACGTTTTAAAATTAACAGCATTTCGATCACAAACTTCATAAAAATCAAAACAAACCCAAGGGATTTCCCGACATTTCCCACCGCGGCAACCCTACAACGGAAGCCATGTAGCAGGAAGCGCGCGCGCAGCTTTAGGTAACGCTTGCCGCACCACCAGCCAGTTGTTGCCCAGACGCCGCGCCGCGTGGTCGCGTTTGTACCAGTTTTCCCGATGGAAAATACGAAAAATGAACGTGATTAGCAAAAGAGATATGTGCCAGGAATGGGTGGCCAGGAGTGATTTTGTGCGATATAATGAATATGGTGTGTTTATTACATTGTGCCTTTTGTAATTGACAATTATTTTTACGATTCATTACCGATTTTTTGTTGGAAATAAAAGTTTTGTTAAAATCTTTTATAGCTTGAGTAACATGTTTATTACCGATATAAACGTCTAGATTGCTCATTAAAACTGAAAACTTAATTGTTCAAAGAGCAGTAGTAACCTTGCATCTATTACAAAATATAATTGATTTATATTGGATTAATAACAAGTGTTACCTTACGACTTTTGTTCAACAATAAAATATAAAAGAGAGAACAACACTGTGCCGTAATTCAATGACACAAACATGTACTCGTATATATAACCACTTGTTTTTCAAAATAAACCGCTACAATTATTTAAAAATCTTTTACAGGTTTTTTAAGTAAGTGTATAACGTGCATTCGTGTTCTCGTACGTTTCACGCATGATACACATGATGTAGGGGAGAGTTCGGTATATTGTACCGCCGGGTAAATTGTACCACCCTCATATTTTCGTAAAGTATTTATTGAATGTCTGTAATTGCAACACTCAGCGATACACAACTAAAATCAATTAATATCGGCCATGTGGTTTTTGCCGTGACAACAAACACGTGTGTTTTATTTTGAAAAGTATTTTTTCATTGTTTTCAAGTAACTTTTGACAATACATGTTTAGTTTGTAATTTTGTTAAATTTAATCACAAGGTGTTTCTAATATATTATTTAGAAGCATAAATTAGTGTGGATTACAATTATTTGAAACATTTTTCGGTATTTATAAGCTATATTTTTTACCGATTTTTTAAAAGCACTATCACTTAGTCGGCTAAATTGTACCATATCAAGTTGTATGGAACTTTACCAAAGGATTTTGAATTTTTTTTTAGTAAATCATATTTTGAAGTTTTAATAGCGTAGTTATGTTTGACTAACAATAAATGAAAGCAAAAGACTGGCAAAGTAGATTAGGTACAAGTGTGCGTTACGATAATTGGAATTACAAAACTTGTACCTACTCAAAATCGTGATAACGTGTAAAATAATATCGATTGTCTATGTTATTAACTACTGTTCCTTTTCGTTTCCTAATTTGTTAAGAATGTATTGTATAATATTTTGCCATAGTTTTTTTATAGGCTTGAAATTTATTGAAATCCAATTTAGTAACCCTGTGGTACAAATTATCAAACCGGTTGGCTAAATTGGACCGAAGCTCTGAACTCGTAGGTACTTTGTTGATTTGTGCTAATATACAACAATCATGTTAATTAATACTTATGAAATAGTAAGTTGAATAATGTATCTTTTATTATGTACCATGGATATTAGCAAAAACAAAAGAAAACGATGTGTAAAATGGGATTGAAAAAAACTGGTCCAAATTAGCGGACTCTCCCTTATGTTATAGGAATTGGATTACAGTTACATATCTGTAACATAACAGATGATCCCCAATGCATTACGGACTTCACAGTAACAGTAATAGTACGGATGCAAGTACGGTAATAGCTTAATTAGGTTACAGAATGTTTACTTCTAATCGGAATTTGATTACGGTTTTGTTACGTAGTATTAAGCAATATGAAGCTTGAAAAGCGACTGCCTTTACTACCATTTAACTGAATCAAACATGGCTTAAAACTTGAACGAAAGTAATTGCTTATTACTTTATGATGCTGGTGAGAGAGACATAAATGGATGAAGTGGATACATTCAAGTTTAATTAAAGATTTAATTATTACAACTCATATTCAACTGTCAATCAATAAAATAATGCGTGTTTCGTTGCGGCAATCAAATGTCATTTTACTGACAGCATTATTTAGAACCCTTTTCTTTATACTCGCAAATTGGATTTTTTAATGCGTATCAGTTCATTAAATTGCATTCTGGGCCGTACGAAAAAGCGTAAATTTATTATATTTTACCGACAAAGCAATACTTTCAGGTCTACTGTAGTTGACACACGCGTTTTTGGTAGGATTTTGGCTTGTAAAGATCTTTCATTCGTAATCCATTAAATGTTGTGATTTCTTCTCTAAATTCAAGTTGAAACCGAAACAGTAAGTTGTCATAAAATTTTAATGTACAAGTACTGGACATCCTACAACGTTATCCACTTTAAGATATTTTTGTTTGTCATCATAATAAAGTATTAGTGTGTGGAGTGTGATGAGTGTGGTGTGTGAACTACATAAACCAAGATATAGAATTGGGGCTATTCATGGATATTGAATAATAATGTTTTTAAATTAATGAATAATAAAAGAGTGCATCTTCAGATGTCATTAACAAGCCTTTTCTTGCATTTTGTATGACTATGGTGATATTTAAGATTATAACTGGATGGATGGCGGCCTGAAATACAGGGTGGCTCTAGTTGAGGCTCCAGATCGCACACTTGCTCGGAGCAACAATTGTTATCTTTATTACTATAATAATGTACCAGAATGAGTGTCTGATAAAATAAATAATTATTTATTTATTTATTATAACAATAATATCTTTCCCCCACAGCATGTTCAGCATCAGACGCTGACACTGGCAACGCGGGCGGCTGGTTCCTTCACGGGAGCACCAATTCAGGAGCCCCGGCCGCTCTGTATCAGCGCGTCAGGGACCTGTTCCATACTCGCTCGCCCGGACCCAGGGTCCCGGCGGAGGGGCAGGAGGCTCCTACTATGACTGGTGAGTGCTGTAGCTTCAGAAGATATTCAGCCAACGGCTGGCTCCTCTAAAGGAGCACCGCCTCAGGAGTCGCCGCTCTGTACCAGCGCGTCAGGGACCTGTTCCATACTCGCTCGCCCATACCCAGGGTCCCAGCGAAGGGGCAGGAGGCTCCTACTATGACTGGTGAGTACTGTAGCTTCAGACGATATTTCCCATGGGAGCAACACTCAGGAGCTCACGCAGGAGTCAGCCGGTGGCTGGCTCCTCCATGGGATCACCAACCCAGGAGCCCTGGCCGCTCTGTATCAGCGCGTCAGGGACCTGTTCCATACTCGCTCGCCCGGACCCAGGGTCCCGGCGGAGGGGCAGGAGGCTCCTACTATGACTGGTGAGTGCTGTAGCTTCAGAAAATATACTCCTGGTTCATCCAGGGGAACACCAACTCAGGAGCTCCGGTCGCTCTGTATCAGCTCAAGGACCTGTTCCATACTCACTCGCCCGGACCCAGGGTCCCGGTGGAAGGGTAGGAGGCTCCTACTATGACTGGTGAGAGCTTTATTACGTAGCTTCAGAATATTATTCATCAATTTCGACCGAATCAGAAATGAGGAGATCCTTAAACGAACTTAAGTCATTGACATAGCCCGACTGATTAGCAAGCTTAAATGACAATGGCCATGGCAGCAAGTGAAATTCTGGAATGGAGGCCAGTGGACAGGTAACTTTATAAAAATTGTAACATTTTTTTTTTAATTTCTGGAAAAGGCTTCTCCAAGGACTTCCACGTTAATCAGTCCTGTGCTGCCCGCGTCTGTTATATGTACAAGTACACGTAGAACTTTTTTTGGTAACATACGAAATCATCACCTTTGTGTCAAAGCATTGGTAGAGCCTAATAAGACATCTAATGATGCCCATAGTGCTACCATTTTACATTTATTTTTTGACGTTCATAAGGTCTAAATCTTGTTCAAAATTGAATAAAGACATTTAATTTGACCATCTTATCCATCAGTACCGTCATTACATTTGAAACTCTATTCCCTTGCAGTTAAAGCAGAAGTGCACGGCGCTACAGAGACGACGACCGTGCCGGAACAGTCTGACAGCGACAGTGGCGCCGAAGCCACGAGGCGCGACCACCACTACGAGGACATCTATATGCCTAGAGAAGAGCAGCAGAGGAGAAGGTACGGGACCACTTTCGTCCCTTGATTGAACTAAATATTGAAATTCAACCAATCAAAAAGCCCTCATCTCCATCATCATCTAGTTTAAACCTGAAATTGAATCGAGTTTTAACCTCTTAATAGCTACACACTTAATTTTCTGTGTTAGTGGTAATATGTCGTTAAAAATAAATTGAATGTCCTTGTTTATTCTTCTAAGTAAATGAATGTTTACATAGGTAAATTGACATAATATTAGTGAAGCAATCATAAACTCAAATGATATGAGAGAGAGTTCAGCATTAAAACACATACAATATAGAATCGACGCCACGATAGCCGAACGATGAAGGGGTCGGACTGGCCGACTCGTGATCGGGGAACGCGGGGAACGCGGATTCGGATGTAATGTCTGTCAAAACTTTAGAAAAACGAACAGTAGCGAGCCACCACATAATGTAAAGCTTACTCGCCTTCGTGAATTGCAAAAATATACATGTAGATCTCATAATAATGTGTTAAATTCTTATTAGAATGATGTTAAATGATGCTATTTGGTTGTTCCAGGAGTAGCTCCCGGGACTCCGGCAGCCACAGCCGGCCGGGGAGCGCTGCTCTCGTGGTAGACTACACCGCGAAAGACAACAATGACATGTAAGTCATCAAGAATTCTAAAGAACTTAGCATACCTAGTTATAGATCTTTTCTTCCACGAAGACGCGCCCCACCAATTGTTGGTTGAGGGACGCGCGGGATGCGGGGAGTTTGATCCGAGCAATCTGAACGTTATTATTGTAGTGTGCGTGTGCACTTGATTCGGTCAGTATTATTTGTATGAATCTCCAAACTGCAACGCACACTTATCCGCACCGTAACGTAAACGCCTCGCCTCACGGTTGACAGCGCGCGAAAGATGATAACATCTGTAACTTGTGAACTTCCGTTTTTCAAGCGGAACTATTAGCCATTGAACGTGCCGTCAGATGGATCACGGAATCCAACACCGTAAGAGCAACTATTCTCTCGGATAGCCACTCTGCTCTTCAAGAGTTAGCAAATGGGCAAACCACCAACAGCTTGGCAGTCATCACTCACACCTCGCGAAAGGCGATGATACGGTGATGCCTTTCAGAGTTGATAAGTCTGCTATGAACTTAAAGTAAGATGGAGCATAGTCTAAGCGTGGATTGCACCTTCTTACTTTAACTATAACAAACGACAAAAGCCTGTCAAACTCCATACAAAAACAGCGGTTAAAGTTATAGTTACGGGTAAAGTTAGGTGGTGCAACTCAGCCTTAGAGTTACGGAACTGAACTGGGGTGTGATGATGCACGCATTACGTTTAAAATGGCTAAGCTATATTTGTGTAATTTACGCAAAGATAAATAATTATCGTGTAAAGTTGTTGTTGAAGAGTGAAAATAATAATTAATTTTTTGTTCTTATTTGCGGGGGGAAATATAAAATCTAGTTCAACGTTGATCAGCAGATCCGGGTTTAACGTTGTGATTAATCGTAAAATTATTGCTACCTAATAATTGCAATGTATTTTAAAGCCTACAATTAAAAGAAGTACAAAGTACCTATAGCTTTCCCTACCATCATAATTATCCACAACATTATCAGCTGGCGCTGAAAAGAAGTGGCGGAAGAAACTCAGTCACCTAAAAACATGATACTAAAGCCCGGTCTGTGAGCACGTAGAATTTTGACCAATGACCAATTTGAAGGATGGGTAGCTAGGGGTCATTGGACAAAATTCTACGTGCTCACAGACCGGGCTTTACAAAAGAACGAGTGTTTATTTTTCAATTCTCGAGATAAATTCCAGTGAGTTCCTTTATTATGAGGATTTTTACGAGTTTTGGTAGAAATGTAACAGCAGGGTCCACAGATACCAGTAAATTTTTGAAAGTGGTCTACGAGAAAAAAGGTTCCCTGACCACTTTAAACTTAAGGGACCCGCAGACTTTAGAGCAGGTTCTGTTAGTTTTGACCAACTTGCTTCTTATACTGTGCTTATTTTTGTCCTGCAGCTCAAGCAAGGCGTACGAGGAGGTGTCCCCAGCCGTTGAGGCACAAACCAAGTCTACGATAGCCACAAAGCTGGCAGCACTCACACACAAGGCACAGAACTTCGTAAGTATATTATTTATTATACCTTTATGTACCCTGCGTGTAAGTTGAGCAGAGCACCAGAAGTTAAATGTTCCAAAAAGTACAAAAATGTAGTCATAGGGATGCAAAGTTTTTTATTTTTCACTAGCTTTTGCCCGCAGCTTCACCCGCATGAAATTTAGTTTCACAAATCGTCATAAATTATAGAATATATTATGTTATTCTGGGTTATAAAAAATAATACTGTAAAGTTTAATCAAAATCCGTTGAGTAGTTTTTACGTGAAAGAGTAACAAACAAGTTCACATCCAGAGATCCATACAAACATTCGCATTCAAAAATTTTTTTTGTTTCCATTTCGATTTCTATACTAGTTTTTCAGAAATTCTATGATTTAACTAACTAGTGTTTATTTAAGAATAATGTATAAACTTTTAAATTCGATGCATATTCCCTATTGACAGCATTCTCTGGTCATCAAACTCCTATTAACTTCTGAATAAATTCGTTGTGGGATTCAAGATGGTCAGTTATTTGTTTCACTGGACTATTCAATCTTTATTGTTTGGGAATCTAACGCCCGTATTCGCAAACATTACTATGAGAGGTCTCACAGTGCTCGTGTACGCACAGGGTGACTCACGAACCAATCACAGAACTCTATTCAACGCTGTGCGTTCGATTTGCTGCTTCACTTAAGCAAGCATCGTTTGTGAATACGGGCGTTAGTGGCCAAACTGTAGCTTCTGGCTACACAGGAGTTACAATGGTGGGAACGAGAGGTTGAAAGTTGAAGGAATGAAATATGTATGCGTGCATAAAAATCGTATCGGGACACATGCGCGCAAATGTCTTTCGCGCTTATGTCTTTTCGCGCTAACGTCCATTCGTGCTTGTATCTTTTTGCTCAAATGTCCATGCGCGGAAATGGCCTTTCGCGCTAGTGTCTTCGCGCTAATGTCTTCCGCGCTAGTGTCTTTCGCGCAAGTGTACCAGAACCCATAAAAATATTATCTGTTTGTATTGGTCAGGGTGTTGTCATCTATTTATGTAGAAATGTTTTAACCGTTGTTTGTATATACCTACAACCTTGTTAGTTAAGGATTACACTGCACTGTGTAAAATGTTAGTTATATTTATTTATTTAATAAAACATAATTTATGTTTTCAAGTTACATTTCCTGGAACATAAAACAAATGGAATAATAATTTGTAATCACACTACACCGACAACAGTATAGTTGAAATGATTTTGATTAATTGTACAAAATATTATGAAAGTATGAAAAACATGACTTTTGCCTTTGATATAAGGTTTTTTGAAGACTTATTATTACTTGATATTCACGAATTTAGCTAGTTGCGTTTAAGAAAGTTAGTATAAAATACAACTGACTTATTTATTACAAAAACAGTAACAATGTATAAATTATCGATCACGCTTATAAATAAAGTAGATGTTGGCCAAACTGGTTTCATAGTAGTTAACAAAGCAAATTAGTTACGAATATTACGTGATTGTATTACAAAAAAATACATAATTTAGCAGAGTGGTTACTGGAAGGTTTGTTCTTTCTGAGACAATAATAAAAAAAGCACAAGATGAATCCCAAACCGAAATGCGCCTACAACTCAATTTAATTATGCTGAAGGATGATACTAAAATCATAAACTGGAAAGTTACAACACTTACAACCCTTAATATGAGGAAAAATAAAAGACTAGGATAGAAAAAATAGTAAAGAGTATAAAAGCTTATGGTAAAAAAGCATGATGCACATGATATCTCTACAAAAAACGCCTGCCCTGGGTTACGAACCAACGACTTGCTGTGAGCTATGGCTACCATGTCGAATGATTTTATCAGCGCTGTAAACTCTCTCACTTTCATAAAACAAACTCTTTTCTAGTTTTATCACAAAATCAATATGTCCATTCTATCCCAGGCCAGCCGCATATCATCAGCAGCAGGCAGCCGCCGCGCGTCAGTATCAGATGAAGCCGCTGTAGTCCAGACGTCGGCATCAGCTTCGTCCGGCGTGTCGTCAGGGGGCAGCTCCGGCGATGAGGCGCCGCCGCCGCCACCGCCGCCACCCGCGCCGCCGGCGCCACCAGCGCCTCCACACAAAGTGTTGGAGGAACCGGCGCTGAGGCCGTCGGAACTGAGGGGACGACTCGGTAAGTAGATTTAGCTCATAGAGAGTTAGAAGACTTGAAATAAGTAGAAGTAGAAGCATGAGCTAGAAGACTAAGGAGCACCAGGTTTCAGCAAACATCTTGAATTAATCAGGAGATGCAGCATCGAAGATATTTTAGCATTGAAACAAAAGCTGTAGCGTTGCTGAAGGTCAAAAGAGGCAGGCCTTAACATTCTATTGGACTTCAGTAGGAGTGTGTAATTCTACGTAATGAAGATCGCAACTAAAAAGTAATCGCAGCCAAATATATAGAGTTATTTAAAAGGAACAATAAGATGATGTAGTTCTTTATATTGCAGTATCATCAGAATTATGTATAATATTGTGTATGTATAGTATAAAGAAATTGGTAAAAAGTAGCTTAGGTTGGTAGACTACACAACATTCAAGATTGACAGATACCCAAGAACATACGTTGAAACAACAATAACAAAATAGTAATTCTTTCTTCTACTTCAACTATCACTAAATTCAGTTTTTATCTGAGTACCTCATAACTCTATCCTAATTCTTGTCACAAACTATCTCAGCTGGATATTATTTATGTAGCGGAAATATCAGCCAAAGCAGCCAAGATGGAAGCGTCGACACCGCCAAGGGATTCGGATTCAGATGAGGCCCCACCTCGTCCCCCACCCCCTAGAGTTCCAACACCTGAACCTGAGCCACCAGAAATCCCCTCGACTTCGCCACCACGGGAAATCCCAGAAGTGTCGTTTCCAGAGCTACCAGAAACCCCTGTTCCTTCCATTCCACCTCCTCCCGTACCGCCCTGTTACCAAGCCCCTCCAATCCCATCAGACTGTCCTCCGCCACCAATACCTCCCCCAATCCCAGCGCCACCTGTTCCCCCATATTTTCCAGCTCCACCCTTGCCCCCAGCCTTCCCAGCTCCTCCCAAACCTCCATCCTTGCCAGCCTGCCTCCTTAAAATCCCTGGGTTAAAGCTGTCCGAACTGAAGGAAAGACTTGGTGAGTGCTCCTTCTTGAGACAAGCGTCATCCAGCCGAGTCAAATGCTGCATCAAGCTCATACTTTCTTGGTCTTTGCGCTGTCACTATTCGCTGCAACAGCTGACTCTTCTTTCCATGCTCTGTTTCGCTGCTAACAGCCTTCCATTATACTTTTAACATCAACAACATACAGCAGTGTAGGGAGATGATAGTGTTTTGATTATGTACCCAGATGATCAGAAGAATGAAGAAATAATGTTTAGTTTAGTCATAGGCTAGCACATAGGTATTTTTTCGAGATGTTAGGAATTTGAGAGATTTGGTACCTAAAGCAGATATCATATTTTATAATTCGAATTTAATTAAATAGGATGAGTAATTTACTTAATTATACTTTGAAAAGTGTTTTTTTTTATAGTTGTAGACTCATTTTCTTAAATAATATTGTTATTTAGGTCACATCAGGTAAGTGTTTCAGGATGCTGATTTTTCGTATTGCCTAAATGTATAATTATTTCACAGCAGCTATGGTCTTCCATGCTTTTTCGGCTTTTTGTGTCTTTTTATGGAAGACTGCTGATTTCAAGATACAGCAAAGGATAAGGTGGCTTGAAGTTCACCTGATAATAGCTAATTCTCATTTGAAAATATGACATATTTTTTCACAAACGTGCTGTAAAGCAGAAGAGCCAATAAAGCAATGGATGGAATACAAGCCAATAAAGCAATGGATGGAAAACATACCTGATGATTCTCGTGATTGTCATAATCTTATTTATTTAATTTAGCTTCTGATATAGCAACTAGCTAACGGACAAAAATAGTTTTAAATTACATGCCTGCACAAGAATAAAAGTTTTCAAGTCATTTATTTTTTTGCATTAAGGCTTTTAAAAACGCTTTTACACGACCCATTTACATGTGGGCTATGGCTGAGAAGAGCCATTATTATCAACCTTTTTACTCGAATGCTGCAGAAGGAGGGTTATTTTTCAAGTTTAAAAAAGTATTAACATATTTTCACACCAGTGTGTCAAGCGTGTAAGGTTGACAAAAACGTTAGTGGTAAGGGTAACCTCTTATTACGTTCCAGAATTCCTTTAAATTGGCCTTTTTGTAGTTAATGGGAAGTATTTAAGCATTTCTCAAACTACAGTGGACCCCCGGTAGTCCGACAAACATTTTGCAGGGCTATAGTCCGGATTTTTTTTACAAAAGAGTACCTTGTAATCCGACAAATTACAGATCCAATGATAAGATTCTTTATACATACATATTATATACATATGTACATATTATGTACTCTGAAAACTAATTATACTTCATTATGTATGTCAAATTTAGTAAATTAAACAACAATAGAGCTTACGTTTTATTATAAAATTAACGTCATTAATGCTATAGAACTTACAAAAAATATGCAATAACTTTTCATGCTTAGCGAATACGTATTCAATAATAAATAATAGACCATGTCGGATTACAGGGGGCGCCGGATTAGACAGGGGCCGGACTACCGGGGGTCCACTATATGTTGAAACAATATTTTAATTAGTTGTCGAAGTATATTGACGTAGACTATAACATTTCTTTATTAACATAAACAATATTATATTCAATGTTACGTTACAATAAAGGTAAAAGATATGAAAGGGGCCAATAAACTTTCGCAAAGGTTGACGACTCTAGCTGTAAAATAAAACAGCTGATTTAATATTATTAATCCTTTACGGAACATTTTTAACATCATTTCAACACCTCTATGGTTCAGCGGACACGGACATGTAGTTTTCTCATTATTTTATATTACTTGATACCTACCCGTTATTATTTTATTTCACTTAAATCCGTTCATCTTTATTAAACACTTCATATAAATAATTATTTTGATATATCACACGCTATATTTCTGTTAGGTCTTATTAAGATCCGTGCAGCACTATTTGGCCAACAAGTCACAAAAAACATTCAAATAAAATGATCTCAATATAACTTGTTAGTACATATACGGTTACAATTTCCGTCTCAAATTCAATTAAAGTTTTAAATTATTCGAATATATTTGGAATTCATACAATTAATGTTTCATATTGTAATTCCGAATAGACAATATTTTTTTTGTATTTCATAAGACTCAGAATCCAGGTAGTTATTTATTATTATGTATTCAACGATACTGTATTGCAAAATATATTGCTGTTTTATGTAAAATTAACGGTATCCTTCCGTTTGGCCAAATTACTTTTCGCCAAATTTCACTTCGCAAACAACTTATCGCCAAAGTTTCATTTCCCAAATAAACTTTTAGCAATTGTACTTTTCGCAACTAATTCAGTTGGTCAAATTAACATATGGCCAAATTTTACTTGGCAAATGTTGATATAGCAAATGTTTTATTTTGCCAAATATTATATCCCAAATAATTTGCTTCGTCAAATTGACACTTCACATACTTACGAGTACCCACCGTTACCCACAAATCAAAGCATAAGGCACATGGTCATGGTTTTCACAAGAATTTTATGTAAAACAGAGAGATTGCAGAAAATAGTATGGTTGCAAAAAGTAGGTATTGTAGAAAATAGTAGGTTAGGTTAGGTTAGAACAGTGACCCTTAATGCGCGAAGGCGAGCGAAGCGTGCCGCGGCAGCGGCCGCCGAGCGCTAGAATCATCTCTATTGTTAATGAATCATTTGGAAATTCCGATAAAAAGAATGAAATATGAAAATTTATTTAGAAAAAATTTTATATTAACTACCCACTAAAGAAAATAATAACCACAAGCTAATTTGTATTCCATTCTATGCACCAATCAAATTGTTTTGTAAATAGTTTATCGTGAAACATTTTTGCCAAATGAAACATTTGGCAAAACATACTTTGCCAAACAATAATTTGCTAAACAATAATATGCCAAAAACGACATTTGCGAATTAAAAGTTTGCAATAAGTTGTTTTGCCAAATGAGAATTTGCCAAATGAAAATTTGCGAAACGTTGTTTGCGATGTGATAATTTGGGAAACGTTTTTTGGCCAAACATTAGTAATCCAAAATTAACAGTTTTACAATCCATATCCCTTAGCTACCATCACTCTTTATTAGCGGCATACGAGTATGGAGTACTAGCGGCCGCCCGCGACTTTGTCCGCGTGGTTCAATCCGTTCTTAGTGAGCACCTACGTCCTAAAAGAAACCCCCATGCAAGAGACTTCTAGCACTTGTAGTTTCTGAGATTTCGTGATGAGTGAGTGAGTCAGTCAGTGACCTTTCGCTTTTATAAATAAAGATAGAGTTTGAGATGCATGCTAAAAATTAAATACTAGATAGATTTTGGCTAACACTCTCCACGGTGGTGGTCAGACAGGATGGGGATCACATATTGTCTTTTTCGTTACTTTGTACGATTTCGCGGGAAGATTGGACGTTTTATAAGACGTATTTTTTTAAAGAAAATAACTAAATACACATTTGAATTGTTGTACCTATGTTCTGAAGCTGTCTTGTACAAAACTAATTTACTTGTATAACATAATGCTATTGACTTTACGTAACTCTTTAAAAAAATTAGGTTTCTGATATAAACTATCTAACTACCAGTTTAAGTAGAATGGGGATGTTGCCTGGGTCAAAAAGCAAGAGTTTTAATTAGTCCGTCAGTTAACTTATAAAAAAATACTCTACACGTATTTTTCACTTTTTCAAACTAATGAAAATTTAAAGAGATAAAGCGCCCCAAAGTTCATAAGAAGAGGCCCGTGACGTCAACGCTTGCTTAAAAATGCCGCACGTTGTGACGTCGTGCGCAACTTCAACGCACCATAACTATGTAATTATTTGTTAGATTGACAAATAAAAATATATTATGTGTCCAATTTTTTGATATTAAACATTACGGACTAAAAAAATTTTTTTAGGCAACTAGCCTATTGGTGTCATCATACCATAAAATAGACCAATGTTTATAATGATAGTAATGTAATAAAGCGTACCTATTTATAGAACATAGTAATTTATCCAGTTATTATT